GCACAACTTTATGATAGGTTTGAAGAAGACGCGCAAGGTACCGACAACCAAGAGGAGAAGAGAAGAAGCAATGAGCACAAGGTGCACGAGGAGCAAAGTGATAGCAAGAAGCTCAAGGAACAGAAAGAAGCCCCAACGCTATGAATAATTATGAAACATTATGAATAATGTTGTATTTCTGTTGGATGATGTTGGATCTATGTTAGAACTATGTTTGACATGATGTTTAAATCTGTTGGATGATGTTTGAATGAGCACATGGTTTTTCCTTTTTTTTGATTTTTTTTAATTTTGTTTTGCCCATTTGAATTATGGTCAAACCTAACTTTGACCAAGATTTAAACAAGTCTAAAACATCAAAATGAAAAACTAAGCCCGGATCCTTCTTAGTCAATCAAAAATGAAGCTGTGGTGAGGTTTTTGAAATTTTCATGAAAAATGTGCTAAAAAGAGGGGTCCAAAGGTAGGGTAAACGACCTCATTTCTAAGCAAGGTTTTTTCGACCTTGTCTAAATCATCAAAATAACTTTCCTACACATATATTCTATATATACAGACTATGTGCGCTGGTTTTTCCATTTTTGAATTTTTTTAATTTGTTTTGCTCATTTGAATTCTGGTCAAACTTAACTTTGACCAAGATTTAAACAAGTCTAAAACATCAAAATGAAAAACCTAAGCCTGGATCCTTCTTAGTCACTCCAAAATGAATCTGTGGTGAGTTTTTTGAAATTTTCATGTTCATTTACGCAAAACACTTCTCTTCACTTCATACAAGAGAGTTTGAGATACTCGAGATATCACATAATACTCATGAACTTATAGTTTAAATGTATGTAAACCTTGTTTATCAACTTAAATCGTTAGTATATGACATAAGAAGACTATGTGTGCAGGTTTTTTATTTTATTTTTATTTTTATTTAATTTATTATGCTCATTTAAACTCCGGTCAAACATAGCTTTGACCGCTCCTAACCCCTCCCAAACCTCGTTAGCCCTAGCGCTGAACAAGGACCGTCCATCTAACCCTAGAGGCAATCAAGGGCCGTCGATCTAACCCTTCTAGAAGGAATCTGCGGGGAGGAGGGAGGCGATCCGCGAGATGTAATCTGATTGGCTGGGAGATTATTTTTTTAACAAATACCGGGCGCTGGATGGACCGTTGGGCCGTCTCGTTGTCTAGGCATGAGACCGCAGTAAATAACCCGTCTCAGGCTTTCCAGGCCTTGCATGCATGGGAGGCGGCGACGTGGGTTTGCATGCGCGGGAGGCGGACGTCCATGCATACGAGCGAGGTGAGCGAGGCACGCTAGGTGAGCTAGGCTAGCGAGGCGAGCTAGGTGGCCATGGACGTATTTATTTAGAGATAGGCATTACGGCAGTGGTTCAGGGCAGAGAGTCAGATCCGATCCACCCATAGGCCTATAAATGGGGTGCCTCTCTTCCTCTCCCACCCACAAGCCAGATCCGATCCATTATCTCCAACTTCAAACACCCAAGCGACCGAGCCCTCCCCAAGCGAGACCAAGTGAAGATGCAGTCCTACGGGTCGACCTTCAACCGTCCGCCTGTCATGCCGGAGCTGCGCTACCCACCGGGAATGCTCGTGGAGAGGGAGCTCCGTGTGTGGGCTATTTCAAGGTGGAGGCGTTCCGTCGAACTCACCGGCGCCTTCCTCAGAGCCGGCTATGCCCACCTCCCACTGGGCTCGCCTAGGATGTTGACCCTCAACGAGGTTCGTGACCGCGGCGGCATCCTCCTACTGCTCATTGTCACCTTCACCAACCCGTTTGACGCGCGCGAGCTCCTCGGCCCAGTCTTTTGGTGCGGCTGCGAGGCCATCTTCTTCACCGTGTGCAACATCTACACCAACTACGAGAGCATCTTCCCCACTCCAGGCCAGATGCACTCCCTTCCCTATGACGAGGAGGAGGAGGTGTGAAGTTGAAGACGGTGTTGAAGGGGCACGCGGACAAGATGGAAGAAGGAGGTGAAGATGAAGATGTTCAAGCCCGGAGTCAAGCTCGTCATGTTTCGTTTTTATTTTGTTGCTTTTCTATGTCGTGTCGTGTCATGTCGTGTTTCGTCATGTGTCCATGAACTTATTATTATTGCTTAATGTAAGGGTACGGTGTGCTGCATCTTATCTAAGTTATTAGGGTTTATTATGTGTGTTAAAAATGTCCGTGCCCAAACATATCATTTCTTTCCTAAACCAAGTATGAAGTCGGAGAACTTGTGGTTTTCATTAATGAAAATCAGAGGGGGTGAGAAGCCCTCTCTTTCATTCAAAAAAAAAACAAGTCATGGAATAACATGCAAATTTATTCCCTTTAAATCCTAAACCAAGTGCCCCTCTAACCCTAAACCAAGTGCCACTCTAACCAAAATCATGTGGCAATGCAAACATACGTTTTCAACCTTCCAACCCTCCAAAATTTCAGTGCAAAACAAAGGAAAACCACTCTCACGCGTGTGCAAACATTCACGGTCTCACTATGTATACCTTCCTTCCCTACCCATGTCAAAGTCTTTCCATCTTTCCTAGCGGTTACCAGCGAAGCCCTAAACGCCACAAACCCACGCGGTCCTGGGTTCGAGTCCCCAGCCGCACCAATTTTTTATGCATTTTCCACCCTTCATTTTTTGACAAATTATTTTTTTCTAAATGTAATGCCCATAAAAAATGTTCATTAATTTTGGCACCAGGTGTAAACCTCTACCAGAGCTGAGGCACATTTTCCATGACATTTTGGTCTTTGATTTAAATCATGGTGTATTTGAACTGGAGTAATTAAATTGCTATTAAATATTTAACAGCTCCAAAAAAAATTTAATCTTAATTTTTTGGCTCTGGAATAATTCAATTAGCTTCCACAAAAAGTTTCAGCATTATGATTTACTGCCTAAATTAAATCAGAACAGAAAACAGAAAAACACGCAAGTCTTCTCCTTTTTTCAACATATTTAAATGTTGGTCACTTCTTCTCTTTTTCTTCAACATTTAAACAACTTTGACCAACATTTAAACTAGGTGAATTTCTCATACAATTTCAAGCTTACAAATTCCTCGATAATTCATGGCTTTCCATACATTTTCAACATTACAACCAGTGCGATTACCATACCTACAAATGCCCAAAAGTATTTGCAAATGGGTATCGGTAGTGCTTGATCTTCAAGCTTCCTAACCTTCTTCTTCAACATCCTAAGCTCAACAGCTAGCTCTCTGTCAGTGCGTGCTTCGCCCTCCATCTCTTCTTCCGGAGCTTGTGCCGCGGCCACTGCCGTTCGTGGCAGCATGCACAACCATTCTTCATGCTCTTCTTGCAGTTCATTCATCAGAGTCTTGGCCAGAGCATCGACCCAAAGAAAGAAGCATGTCACCTTCATGAACACCAAACAGATCAACCCATTTCTCAAAGATCCCGACCACGAAAATGGTGCAATTGCCCCGATTCTTACCCCATTCTGGCTGCACACGTAGAACAGACGATTCTGGTTCCTCGGTGTGTGAGAAACCCTCCGAACAACGCCCGTCCGACACCGCGGACAGACGAAGACAGGCATGTCCACACGCGCCCGACTCTGCATCTGCGAGGTGGAGCGGGAGCTTGAGGAAGACATTGAGCTCGGAGCCGAAGGGGATTTCAACGCCGTCGCGCCCTCCACAGCTAGCTTCCAACCGCCGCTCTCTCTCTCTCTCTCTCTCTCTCTCTCTCTCTCTCTCTCTCTCTCTCTCTCTCTCTCTCTCTCTCTTGCCGTGGTCACCGACGTGCTCTCTGTCGCCGTGGTCACCGCCGATGTGTGTCGCCCGCTTATAGCACACCTACAACGGCTCTCTGCTCAATGGCTCTCTGCTGGGTCCCACAAGCCACGCATGCAACGGTCTGAATAGAATTGGCCGTCTCTGTCGCCTGGTCCCACCCGTAAGGGCCGAGTCAAAATGTTGACCTGACGGAGACGGTAGAGTTCACAGAACGAGTCGGTGTCCATGGACTAGGGGCAAAACTGAGCACAATTCGCATCTGAGGGCAAAACTGAGCACACGGACACCACTGAGGGCAAAAGGATAATTAACCCTTTAGTTTTCTATGGAACTACATTTTATCTTGTTGGTAGATGACATGTATTCGCTTTATAGACATATGCTATATCAATTATGGAAAATATATCATTGTCATTCATGTTGTTGTTCATTTGGGATTTTATTAATGGTAACCTTTTCATTACCTGCAAAAGATTTGCCTTTTGTTATAACAAAAAGCAAGAACTTTGCTAGTTAAATCAAGGTTGACCTCCATGTTGAGTTCTCAGAACGGGTTTGAATGCGATGGTGAACATAGTGATAGGTAGGCTCCTGAATCTTCTTTTTTCAATTGGGGTTGAACTATATATTGTTGGTTCATTTTCACAAATTTTCCATTACAAATATATTTTTAGATTGTCGAATGGGTTCATTTTTTTCCTCTACACTGTTGAATGAAATAAATTAAGCTTAAAGATACCCTAAAGAAATAAATTTTGCCCATCATGTACGATGGGGGGCTTCGAGGACTCTTATGCTTTACGAAATAAAGTGTTGAATAAATGCATGATGTCCATCGATTTATTATGGAAAATACATATATGTCACTAGGAAAATATTAATAACTAAAATCCATTCAGGGTGGAAATTTATTTACTAGCAAAAGTTCAGTCAAAAATTATTGACTAAATTCAAACTTTATGAGCACCAAACAAAGACAAGACATACTTCCAACACACATTAAATGACAGATCTTTTGGATACAACAATAAGATACAATGTAATTTAAGAGATATATATAAGATATATATTTAATGCATATGATATAGCTTAATGTATAATACATTGAGGGTGTTGCCAAGATCTAAAAAATGATATGGTCCAAGAATCTATAAATGTAGGTTGTCTCGTTGTCTCATGAACTCCACTCTTCAGCCTTCGGTCTGCACATCATTTTGAGAAGGACCACCATGTTGATTCTTCTTCTCGCGGTTTTGCTCGCCTTTCCAGGTATGTGAAATCGAATCATCCGTTCATCGCATATTCTGTACTTCATCTTGATACGGTTACTATATCCACTATACAGTCAACACCAAATGGGTTACTAAATACGTATGACGATGCCTAGAGAACGAGAATTAAACGGGAGTTTGATCATTTTACCCTCCTAATTTTACTGTATTTGCCTTGTTAATTTCGTATTTGGTGTGAACAACAGGCCCAATCAAAGGAGAACATGATTTGGATGCAGGTGGTGGTGGTGTCGTGGCGCCTCCACCTGATCCCGAGAGCAGTCATCTGGCCCCTTCTCCTCAAACTTCTCCAAAGAGTAATCCAACTCCACTTCCAGTGACTGGTCATTTGCCTCATCCTCGGCCTCTATCGACCCTGCCGCCTCCACCAGGCTGTGTAGAAGTGAAGGTAAACAAAGGGCCGTGCTTTGACGTTCTTTGTGCAGCAGCATGTCTCATGGAATCATATAAGGGCGGCCAGTGTCATGGAAGTTTTCCTTTCGGTCCTTGCTATTGTCTCAAGTGTCAAGTAGCAAAGACTAGTCCGTCATTACATTGATGTCATACATGTGGCTTGAGTTTTCAACTGGTCAATAAAATAGTAAAGGATGTGGTGCTTATAGTATTCCTCGATTAAATAATATAAAAGACTAGATAGTTTTTTTTTTTTTGAAAGATCCAGCAACTGTGGGCTTTTGTATTATCAAGGTAGGGAGCAGTATTTACATAGCAACCGCTTATCCGTCTTAAGGAGAGAAGTTAGAGGAATGGAAAAGAAATAAAAAAGACGAGTACGGCACGCCGGCCGAAATTTCGGCTGGTCGCACCACGCCCGCACGATTTGGACAGTTAGAGCCGTGCGATGGTCTTCCTTTCCATAACTGATTCTTTAAGAACATGAAGGAAAAAGGCATGATGCCAAGTTCAACGCGTGATCCTTCTCAGACGTCAGCCAGCTCGCCGGCCGTCCTCGCCCGCTTGCCTCGCCGCCGGTCGCCACCCTCATCGCCAGTGCTCACCGTCACAGCACACCGTCCTCGCCGGTTCCGGTAGGACGCCTTCGCCATCGTAGCAAAACACCCAACGTCCCTATCCTTGCAGCAACTAGCCGTCGCCTTCGTATCACGTCCATCGCAGCACCACGGTGCCGCAGACCGCAACTCTCATTGTCGTCATCGATGCTCGCTGCCCGGAGTTGCACGAACGAAGGCCACCCAATCGACACCATTTAGATGGATGAAGCAAAAAACGTCACCGGTGGTAGTAAAAAATAGTTAAGGTTGCAGCAAAATCACTGTCGCCGTCGTCCATCTGCGACATTAATGGATGTAAGCAAATTTCCTCGTCGATCGTAGCAAAAGCCGACGACCGTCAGCAAATAACCGTCTCCATCGTCGCGGGGACGTAGCTCCGTCAAGGAAAACATACAGCCAGATGAAGCTTCCCATGGTAGCAAAAATGTGACGTTGAATGGATGTAGCAAAAAAAAATCATCGGTCAAAGCAAAAATGACAACGGTTGCAGCAAATCATCATCGCCGCCGGCACGAGGTCGCAGTCCGCCATGATGGATGTAGCAAAAACCCACGCCGACAGTTGAAAAATATAACGATGGTTGAATCTTTATTATACATGCATCGTCCAGATGCAGAGACTAGGGGTCTTCCTCCTTTTCAAAAAAAATGCAGTTTAAGCTTTTCTATCAATAGTTGATTTTTTTCGGTTGCACGGTGCCGTGGTTGAAGCTTTCTCCACCTACGATTGAACCTTTTCTATCAAATGGTTGCAACTTTTTTCGTTGGGCAGTACCGATTGAAGCTTTTCTATTTGTGGTTGAAACTTTTTTTAATTGCGGTTCAAGCTTTTTTAGATCACGGTTGCAACACTTGTATACACGCGGTTCCGGCCATGGCAGCAGGCAGCTGTGGCATCTTCGCTCTCCTAGCAGTAGGCAGCTGTTGCAGTTTGATGGCGACGGCAGTTCCAGCACCGGCGGTCATCTTTATGTCGTCCCCGACCCCTGCCGTTTGAAGCACCGGTGCAAGCAGCTGGTAGCAAAAACATCAAAGCTTCGTCATTCCTTGCGAAGAAGAAAGAAGGGTGCAAGGGGAAGAAAGGAGAGGATGCGGGAAGAAGATAGTTGTTCGGAAAAAAAAGATGATGTGTGGGCCTACCTATGTCCAGCGTGGGGGATCTCTAGACCCACGATTGAAAGCTTCGGCCAGCCTGTCGGCTGGAAACGTTTGCCAATAGAGAAAGGAAAACGTTTTAAATCAACCGACTGAATTTGTCGATCCATCAGCCGCCTCCGAGGCTTGCCACGCGTCCCCGTCGGACCATGCACCGCTCTAGAATTTCGCCTTATCCTCCCGCAGCAAACCACAACTAGGGCTGCAAGAAAAGCTCGAGGCTCGTGAGCCGCTCGAGATTGACTCGTTTTTTGACTCGACTCGGGATTGACTTGAAAAGGAATGAGCTGAGCTTGAACACTTTAGGTAGCTCGACCGAGAAACGAGCCGATCTTGAGCCAATGTTGGCTCGCTCGATTTTAGCTCGATAGCTCAACAGAATATCATTATATTATAAGATCATGCCATATATTAGATGGAAATAAGATAATTATTATCATATATGTTGTCCATAATTTTTCTCCATTTTATTTATCAACAAACATGAAAACTTAATTAAGTGCAGAGAAGATTTAGGCCTAATTATGGCACATGGTCGACTATGTGTTAAATATCCTATATTTTTGGCAAAGGTTCCAAGCATATTCACCTTAATTTTTTTTGTTTTACATCCATAGATATATAACTTTTTACCATCTCATTTAGCTCGGAACTAGCTCGAGATCGTTACAAGCTGAGCACGAGTCATGTTCTGTAGCTCGATCATGAGCTTAACTCAGTTTGAGCTCGCTCGAAATTTCATATGAGTTGAGCTGAGCCAACTACAACTCGCTCGAGCTCGACTCGTTTGTAGCCCTAACCACAACCACACATCTGATCCCGTATGTTTTCCCCTTCGTCTACCTCTGCTCGTGAACGCGCAGCGCTCAGAATTTGTCCTCCACTACGGCAGCACGTCCCCGTCGTTGACGCAAAATCAGCTCGTGAGCCAGCCATCACGACCATCTCCCAGCAACCCCCAAAGCCTGCCTTCTCATCTCCTCGCAGCTCACCCCGGCAGCCAAGCCCAAATCACGAGCACTAGTCGCGCGTGGCCGGTGCTACAATACAATGCTCACGACGCAGCAGAGGCACCGAGGCCCGATGCAAGGCTCATTGGCGGCGGCCCCGACGCACCGGAGTGATGACACTTTTGAAGCAGGCAGAGTTGCGGCCGCCCATGCAGCACCGGCGGGCCGTGGATCTCGCCGGGGAGGCGACGCTCGTGGTGCTGCAAAGCGGCGTTTGGCATGACGCGTTTGTGGTGCTACACCGGCGTCGCGTCCGACGTGCTCCGCTAGCGATGCTGCAGTGAAGTGTGCTGGAGCTGCAACGGAACTCCACGCGGGGGTCATTGAGCTTTGTCGAGGCTGCATTGAAGCATGCCGGAGCTGCATTCAAGCACGACAGAGCTGCAATCACTACACCACGGTTGTCAATCAGAGGCATTTTGTTAAAGGCGTATCTGAAAATGCCTCCAAATTGTATATAAGAAGGCACTTTTTCAGTTTGCCTCAGATCCCTGTATATAAGAAGGCACTTTTTAGATTTGCCTCATATTCCTGTATATAAGGGCATTTCCAGCCGCGCCTCCAGGAAGACCTCCCCAGACGATTTTTTTGCGTCGGCGCCGAAAAAACGGCCCTGTCGCGCCCCAGGAGCCCGATTTTCGCCGGCTTGGGCCGAACACAACGTCGGCGGACCCAGCCCGAACCCGGCGCGCTGGGGGGCGCACGGGGCGCCTGGGCGAACTGTTTTGGCACGAAAAAGACGCGGGCCAGCCGCGTCAGCGACTCGGCGCCTTGTCTTCCCCCAACGGCCTCGGTTCCCGCGGGGAATCAATGGCAAGGCTGCCGCCGGCCAGCCTTGCCATTGATTCCTCATGGGCGGCGCTTCACGGGACGGCGCGCCGACGCCTCCCCTCCCTCGCACGCGTACACACGGGCGCGGGCCGGCTATAAAAACCGGCGGCCTCCACTCGCCTGTGCCCACACCAGCCCCCCCTCGCCGACGTCCAGCCCCTCCCTCTCCCTGCCTCTCCCGAGCGCCGCTGCCCAGCCCCTCCCTCTACCTCTCCCGAGCCCGCCCAGCCCCGCCGTCGCCATGGCAGAACGCTTCCCCGGAGACGAGGCGGCGGCCAACGGCTTCGGCCACCGTTCTCTCCGCGAACAGGAGTGCTGGCTCCTGTTCCAGGCGAACATCCCGGCGCCACCGGACATGCGCGCCGGGCCAACGGGGTGGAGGCTCAGCGCCGGGGGAGTGCCCATTCCCCCGTTGCCCGACGCCGTGGCGAAGCCGAGGTACTTCGCCGAGGAGGTCGACATCGTGCGCGCGTCCCTCACCGACGCCCACTGCTCCCTCCCCCAGTACGCCGCCGACAACCACGCGGCCTGGGCGGCGTATTTTCAGCGCCGCCAGCAGGAGCGCTTGGCGTCCACGAACGGCGCTCCGGTGGTCGGCGGCCGGCAGAACAGCGAGGGGCGCCACCTCTGGTGGGGCTTCCCCGGCCGCACACTCGAGGGCGTGCTCATGTACCTCGAGGGCGGCAACGACCCGCCGTTGGCGTACCCCCCGGCTAGGGTGGCCGCCCCGACGCAGCACCGACGCGTCAGGCCATGGGCGCCGAGGAGGTTCGGCGCTTCTTCTTCTTCCTCCTCATCGCGCTCTTCTTCCCATTCCTCCGGCTCTCTGGTGCTGCTCGGCGTCAAGGCCGAGCCCGCGGCGGAGACGCCGCTCGGCCGGCGCACTCGCAGCGCCGGCATCGTCATCAACGGGGGCGGCCGTCGCGCCTCGTCCTCGTCGGCTCCTCCGCGCTTCGTCAAGCCAAAGACGGAGCCGGGGCTGGCGCCCGTGAAGACGGAGCCGGGGCTGGCGCCGGTGAACGCGGAGTTCAACGACGACGACGCGGCCCTCGAATGGGCGCGCCAGGACTCCATCGCGTTGGAGAAGGCGCGCCGGGAGAAGGAGAAGGAGCGCCAGTGCGCCGCCCTACGCCGCTTCGAGGAGCGCCGACGCGGCCGCGAGGAAGGCGGGGTCGTCGTCTTATGCGACAGCGACGACGACGACGACGCGCCGCCGCCTGTTCGCCAAGGCGACGCCGGGCAGGGGTCCAGCAGGGGCACCCGCGTCAAGGAGGAGAAGGCCGCCGACGACGATGGCGGCGACGACGATGGCGGCGACGACTTCAGCCACTTTCTTTTACTTTAGATTAGGTTAATGTAATGTTTGGACGAATTTCGCCGAAACTTGCCATGGTTGGCCGAAATATAACTAGTTTTTATCATAACTTCGCCGAACGTTTTTTTTTAAAATACGCGCCTGGGGGCGGCCCTGGGGACCGACTCGCCCCCAGGACCATTTTTTGCGCCGGCTCACCCCCAGGCGGCGCTTTT